TATCCCCTGTGTGCCTTGTCGACTCCAGTCCCCCCCCCCCCGGAGAGCACGGTCCTGCACGCACTCACTCACGCACGCGGCACGCACGCACGCACGCACGCGCACCACGGACGGACGGAGCAACACACAACGGCGCGGTTACAACACTCCCGACTACACCGAGATTGTGTTGGTGATTAATCAAAAAAAGGCCGTTCGCGAAAATGGCCGATGGACGCGAGCCACGGTTGTTTTCCACGAGGAGCCTATACCAGTTGTGCGTGTCCGCGGTGGTTGACAGGTTCCGCATCTACAAGCCGTACCTCGTCGACTTGCCCAAGAGCGTGCGGTTCGATCTCTATTATCAGGTAAACGGGAGAGGGACGGTCAAGCTGTGGGCGCCCGTTGTGGTCGGCGCGGACGAGTGCCACGGTGAGACACACGTACGGGGGAGGTGGTGGTGTCCCGACCGTGGTGTCACCCGCGCGCGATGACAGCCGCCGCGCTCGCTTCTGCAGATCCCCTCGCCTTGCCGCGGCACGGAAACCGCGTTCGCGCGCTGCGCGACGACGGCGACGACGACGACGACGCGCGATCGCTCCGTTCCGTTCCGCTCCGCTTCTGCTCGAGAGTCGTTCGCGCGAGGTGTGATCCTCTCGCAAAGTGTCGCGCCGTGCACGCGCACGTCGGGTCCACGGCGCGAGACGGATTCGAGACGCGTTTCTCGCGGTGGAGGTTCGGCCCTTCGGAGGACCGGATCGGCCGAGCCCCGCACCGTTCCGCGATATCGCCGCGTACGCGCTTAACGGTAACGCGTGAACGAGTTTCCGTCGGTCTCTCCAATGCGTCTCGTCTCTTTTTCAGTTGTACAGAGAGAGGAGATTATGCATACTAGGGGCGGAATTAAGCGATCTGGAGACTTTCTCCAAGATGCTCAAGGTCACCAACCGTCGACTACACCTCCTGAGAATATTCCAGGTGAGGCCTGTCATCTATTTTGCCCTCGAGAGCAAACTTGGACCAAACTCGCGATTTGCTTTGGTACTCGCGATTAATCGACGGTTAATTCAACCGGAGTATCGTCTGGAGCGAAATTTCAATTCGTCGTCCCTGAACTGATTTTTTTTTCCACACGTTGAACGAAAAATCAAAATTCTATCCATGTTAAGTAGAGAAATGTTATTGGACAGTTAATCACAGATTAATCGAGCTTGAACGGTGTCACCCCAATGTTCGTTTTTGCCAAGTAGAAATGACGTCTACTGTAGATTAATTTTAACTTACTCTTTATCTTTTCTTGATTTCTAAAAAAAGATAAATAAAATAAACCGAGATTAAAACTACCATAGGTAGAAATTAGCATAAGGGGGGCTGTCACCTTTTTTTCCTTTCCGAAAAATACTTTGCATTTTTTTTTTGTATTTCCGTGACTTGAAGGCGCCAATGGATCACAAGATAAGGATAGCGAAACACCTGGTCGTCAGCTACAACATGTACTGCTTTCCAGTGAGGGAGAGCCCCACGCCGCAGGATAAATTGATAAATCTAGGTTTGAGACTCGGCGGGTTCCTCAGCGACGCCGGTTGGTACTCGGAAAGTGAGGAGGTGTTGTTGGCCTGCAAACAACTATGTATGGCTCACAATCAGACCCCCAAGGATTGGTGTAGAACGTTAGATTGTTGTCACAAGTAAGAAGCTATTCACAAATAGAACTTTAATTTGAACATCAAAAGACCCACATTTGACACGCTTCGCGCGCCAAGTCTACGCGTAAAGCTCGTATCAGATTAAAGATTGAGATTGAGATTGAATTGAAATTTGACCAATCAAAAAACAAAATTTTCACTAAATTTGAAATTGATTTTCTTTCTTCTAATTGATTAAATTCCAATCCAATTTCAACCTCAATCTTTAGTCTGATATACAGGTTTAATGCACATGTATCTATTAGGGCTGTTGATTTGCTTCGAAGATTCGGCATTAAAATCTTCGAATTCTTTCAAAGTTTTGAAAAATACATTTGTGCAAATAATAAATTTATTTAAAAAATTTACAAATTACTTTTTATTTACAAATATTGTAAATAAAAAGAATTAATATATGTACGAAATTATTCTTAAAAAATTTGAAAGTATTATAACCTGAAATATTACAAATTAATAATTTAACTTGAACATGTGTAAATAAGGAAAGATAATGATCAATAAAACAATCCAATTAAGAAAATTCAAATTTTTTATGTATTTTTCAAAACCTTCGAAGCTTCAAAGGCACCTTGAACTTCGAAAGGTCGAAGTTAACGTCGAAGCTTCGAATATTCGAAGTGGGTAAAAAGTAACAGCCCTAGTATCTGTACGCAAGCCATCTAGTTGACAAATTGTTAAGCCGTAATCACACTAGCGATTGAGATTGGATTGAAACTTGACCAATCAGAAGAAAAATATAACTAATATCAATTTCAGTAAATTTTGCTTTGATTGATCAAATACCAATCCAATCTCAATCTGAATTGCTAGTGTGACTACAGCTTTAGACTATCGAATCTCAAGCTATGGTCCACTCAAGGCTACAAATGCCTTGAGAAGCATTTTTTTTTAATTGGTCATTAAATCCAAAATTCTTCTGATCAAGCAAATGCTTTTCTCTCGAAGCATTTGTAGCGTTAAGATCACAGCTTCAGTCATTTAGTTGGACCGATCAAATTTTTAATATACTTAAACATAATTATACATTTGTTAATGTATTTCAGACTGTTACATGCACAAGCGGCGTACTGCCATTTCGACGGAGCTGCCGAGACTCACCAGCTTGCCTTGGAAATGATAGAAAAGTTAAAAAGCAGTCCGTACGATAGCAACCACGCTGCCCTTTTTGCAGAGTTCAGTGTATTATTCTACATACGCAGCGAATACGATGAAGCGTACAGGTGCACGCCTAACATTTATCGCTCTAACATTTATCGTTTGTGAAATGGATTTACAATCGCCAGCAAATTTTAACTTTTTAATCATTTATAAACCAATGTGAAATGAGAGTTGAGAAATCGATTATAAATCCAATTATGATATGAAATCCGATTGTAAATACATTTTAAATAATATACCAGAGCTTCATTTATCCGCACTGTATTTATTGGGAACAGGTTTCTGATCAGTTTCGAATACACAAATTCACAGCTGAACTCTTATTACCCATGCTACTCGGATAATAAGAGCTCGACGTATGTACTTGACGTGAATTTTTTGAACGTCAGCTGTTACTCGAAACTACTAAATGACTACTTCTATTATCCGATCTCTATTATTTGATTATCCAAAATTTAGGATAATCCGAGGATCACAGGATCCAAGATTATTCTAAATCCCCAACATGTTCGGATAAACGGAATTCTGTTGCACTAAATAACATATTTATTTAATGTTTATTTTACGTAATTTTTACTCGTAATGTTATATAGATATATATATATATATATATATATACACTGCTCAAAAAAATTATGGCATAGAAAAATTTTGAGCAAAAATTGGTCAACTTTGGTTAATGGTAACTCCGCGAAAAATCATCGTAAAATGATGAACTTTTTTTCAAATGAA